ACAGGCAAGGTTTATCTCTCTCTTGTGTTAATAAGTTATTATTGTTATTGTATTTCCCCACGAACTGCCTTAGAGAAAGGTATAGTTTCTTAAAGAGAAAAGAAGCTATACTTACCTCTTGGACACCGCATATACCTACGAAAGGATTCCTTGTGCCGTGTTATTGTTATAGAGTAAATTAAGAAGGCTTTACTCTGTAACAATATATATGTTTTTTGATTTTAATTCTAATTTGGCTATTATTGTAGAGGTTACCTTTGTTATAGATTTTTTAATTCTTTGTAATACTTGATTTTATTATTTTGTTTATTAAATTTTGAATAGTTATAAAGTATATAAAGAAAAATATTATAAAAAATAATTTAAATAAATATAAAGAATTAATATAACAAAAACTAAGTTACTAAAATAATATTAAAAAGTTAAAATAATTTAGATTTAACCAAAGGTGAAAATCACTAGGCTAAGAATTTTTAGGGCTAGAGTGTAGTTTTAAGATAAAGAAGGAGTTTTATATAGCATAATGTAGATTTAAAGTAAAATTTCAATTTTAGTTTTTGTGGGGTTTTTGAAAGTTCTAAAAATTTTTACTTAGAATACCCAATTCCATTTACTTAATATGTTTTTGAGATATAGCACTCTGGTAAATTTTATCTTTGGTAAGTATTAAAATTATCTTTGTTATATAATTTTTATACTTACCTGGCATGGGTTATAATAGTGTATTTCTTTATATTTTATCTTAGTTTTTTTTAGTTTTTTTTTTTAGGTTAGTTAGTTTAGATTTAGTTAGCTTTATAGAAGTTTCTCTTTTGTTTTGTTTTTTATATTCTCTTGTTTCTCCTTTATCTTCTCTTTTATTTTTTTTTCTTTACTTCTTTTTCTTCTTATATACTATAAATCTTCTATATATATGTATATAAATTTTACTTTTTTTTTTGTTTTTAGTAAAGAAAAAAAAACCGAAAAGTTTGGCTTTTGATAGAACTGATATAGTTTTCTGCTTCTTCTAGGAGTTGGTACAATTGATCACACTAGTAGTTATTTTTACTAAAGATTAAGCAATACTAGATCTGCTATATGTAAAAAATATTTTGTTAATTTTTGTAATACTTTTATCTTTTAATAAAGGTACTAATGAGACTATCAAAGAGTTAAAAAAAAACAAAAACAAAGATAACAAGTACAATTAATATATTTACTAAACAAAAAGTTTAGTTATAGACAAAATAAACAAACAAAAAAATAGGTATTAGAAAAACATGCAAACTAAAAATACTAAATATATAGGGGGAGTTAATAGAAAAAAGACAAATTATTTTTAGTGAAATTTTTTTAATTTTTAAATTAAAATATCTCAACAACTATTTAATATAAAATATAATTAAAATAATCTATAGTAATTATCACCTCTAAATATATTTAGGGTTAGGGTGTAGCTTTAAGATATATAGAAGTTTTTTATATAATATAATATTGATAAGATATAAGGCTGCAATTTTAATTTTTATAAAGTTTTCAAGGGTCCTGATCATTTTACTTAGAGTACCTGATCCTGTTTACTTAGTACATTTTTGAGATATAAGCACCTTGGTAATTATTACCACTGGTTATAGTTATATTTATTCTTTAATTATATTTGGCAAAAAATTTTTTATTTTAATCTTAAAATTATATATAATTAAAATAAAAAGATTTATTAAATTTGATAAGATAATTGTCAAGATATTTAAGCTTAAAGTCAAGAAAACTTTTACTTAGAAAAAATTTGTCTCTTTTCTATTGACTCACCCCATATTTTATAACTAATCGAACAAAAACAACCAAGCACAATATATTTACTTAAAAACTAAAATCTAACTTCAAACAAAAAAAATATTAAAAAAGTAAACAAATAAAAATTGCTGAAAAAAAAATAGATATATTACTTAAATATGTTTTATAATTAGATAAACAAAATAGCAAACAAGTAAATAATACTTATCTAAAATCAAAAGCCTAATTCTAGACAACGTAAACAAATAAAAAACTATCCAGAAAAAATAAATAAATATTGGATTAGTTAATATTCTGAAAATTTATGTATAGTATGAAATGTGGATTTCAAAATTTAACTTATCTGAATTTAAAGTTGTAGGGCGCCAGTGGCACTCCATTACATTTGTACTATGTATATAAAAATTTACTTATATAAAAAAAAATCTCTGAGCGGCCGGTCAAATTTTTTCATCCCATGTTATGAAACCCAATTTATTCATTTGTATCGCCTAATAATTTTTATTTTTTTTTTTACAAATAAGTTATATAAATACTCAAATATTATATATATTTTTTTAATGCTAACTATATATAAAAATTTGAGTTATTACATTTATTTAAAATATATCAAATTAAATTTCTGACTAAATTTCCCAGTTTGGAAAAAGTGTCCTGGACGGCTTGCTGGCTAATTTGCTGACGAGCAGCTTCCACTCGGTCATAGACAAAAGGCAACACTCTTAAGGGCTGATATTCGTCATTTTGGCAAAAAATTAAAGCAATTTTGTATTATCATTAAAAAGAATACCAATATAATAAATACATTGAAAGTTCTGTAACTTATAAGCAAAAATTTAATTCAAAAACAGTTAAAGTTTAGCCAAAGTTATATTATACTTGTAATATATAAACTTTGATAACTTTTTGTGTTTATTATACGTAATTTTAAGTAATAAAAAAAAAAATTCATCTTGAAAAAGATGCAATCTAGATATAAATATCAATATATAGGCATAGACTAATAGACTATGTTAACTATATCAAATTAATGTGTTTAAATCAACTAACCTCAGAAAATAAATAAATAAATAAATCTAAAAACAAGTTCATAGAAAGTTTTATTTGTCATATATTAAATAATTCAAACTCTTTTTTTTTAAAAAAAAAAATTAAATTATACTAGCGAACCAATTTGGCAAAACTTTTTTAACCACATCTTTGTCAACTTCAATCATCCTTTCATTATCAACTCTTCCAATAGAATGACATCCGCTGGTAAGGTGCCTACAAATAGCATCATAGCTGTGTAACCTTTTAGATGACTTCCAACAAAGTTTACAAACGAATAACTCTTTGTCTTCATCATCAAATTGTTTAGCTGCCAAATTGATACATCCTTTAACAGTTGTGAAAGGTCCAGGTCGATTAACTTTAGATTTTTTAACTAATCTACGGGCTTCTTTACGAAGTCTCGGAATTAATGTTTGAATTAAAAATTCATCAGTCCATGGAATTAATGGGTCATTGTTAACAAATGGTGGATTACAAAACGAAGGGCACCAGTGAAGACAATCGATAACAGGATCAGATATATAAATTTGATAACCAGAACCTGGGGGCATATTTATAGCACAGGAAAGTGTGTCGTAAGAAGTGATAAGAGATAAAATCGCGTTTGTGATTTGTTCAAGTCTCACAGTTTTCTTCATTAAATCAGTATATTCATTTTTCAATCTTAAAACGAATGTTGGCCATGGATTTGTCATGAAAGGAATTCTATATACTTCTTTTGCTTCAATATAAGAAGGTAATTGAACTATATATTTTTCTTTATAAGGTTTTAGACCTTTTTCATCCTTTGTTTGTTTAAATTCTTCAATTAACATTTTAAATGTTCTCATATCTTCTAATGATTTCTTACGAAGATATAATTCATCAAGCCTTTCACGTTTCTGAACATTTGTTAAGATTTGAGCAACCATGGTTTTTTTCTTTTGAATCCAGTTAGCTCGATGTTTTGGTGGTGTCGATATGAATTCACGACGTGCTGATTCTAGATGAGAATTTAAATAAGCTATAATTTTTGCACCAGTAGTAGAATTAAGAACAGGAACGTTTTCATAAGGTACGACTGTTGTGATATCAATTGGTGTTTTTGCCCAATGAGGAAGATTGTCAGGACTGCTTAAATACGCGTAAACAAAATATATATATAGATATTAAAAATTGTTTAACCATTATCGTTGTTAAAAAAAAAATTTATAAATATGTATGCAAATAGAGTTTTAGAACGAATTTATTTTTCATATGCTAAACCAGCTAAAACTGATTAAAACTAGTTTTTTTTTTTTAACATATGAAAAATAACATCAATTCCAAACTCTACTGTATATATATATAAAAGAATGAAAATATTAATATATTTACGTGGTAATTCTTTTTCTTAGACAAGTAGAACAACAGCGTACACGAAAAGCCCAATATACTTTAGGGGTTTCTGTTTTTGCACCACAATATTGACAACCACGTTCTAGCATAGCCAACTTAATATAGGTAATTTCATCTATGCCAACGGGCGGTGGTCTTGGTAAATAAGAGATAAATTTTGTTCGAGAAGTTCGCCAAATGTCAGTGGTGATATGCGATGAACTTGAACGTAACCAATTTCTAAATTGCTTACACACACCAATAAGCGCGAAGAGGGAGTTTGGTGATAGATGGTAACATATTTCGATGAAAATGTCAAGAGGCAGGTCAGCGAGAGATGCTGGAGCACGTTCTATATGTATAACTTCAGGGACAACAGTTACATATAGAGAATTATCCAAAAGACATCGTTCACCGTTGTTTTCTATTTTTTCACATTCTTGTGACATAATACTTGAAACTGATTGTGTCATTTGTGAAGTTTCCGAAGTTTCTTCTATTTGTTGCATGTCATGTGAAATGTTGTTAGATGATTCAATATTGCAAGATTTTTCAAGAGATGGTTCCAAGGATTTTGTTGGAGAATTCACAACTCCAACAAATTCGTCTTGCTGTTCTACCGCCGAATAAAATTTGGAACATGTATCGATTTCATTATCAATGTTTTGTGATTCAATGCGTTGCTCTGGTAACGCTGAAGAATATAAAGTTTCTTGAAGACAAATATTTTTATTACACTCTATTTCGTCATCATAAAAAAGTTCTTTAAAACGTGAATATTCAATTTCTTTTGTAGAATTTATCATAGAAGATTCGCGTAAAATATGCGCAGATTCTATATGATCAATTAATATACATTGTTGTGAACATTGTTCAAGTGTATCACATAAATTATCGTTTAAAGATATTGTAATATTTTCGTCTATAAGGGATGGCACAATCTCATACTGAGAGTGCGCATAAGATAACCAATTTCGAATCCACGACGTAACATTATTTGATATATATCGATCAGTTGAATATGATTTTGAATCTCCAGTGGTAATATTAGGAAACAGAGTGTTAAATATAAAGTTTTTACGATTTATATTTGGATTCGTTTCCCAGTTAGATAAGATCAAATTAAGTTCAAAAAATGGAAATGCCAAATGAAAAACTATAGAGGCAGGTTGCTTTGTCACAAAAGAATATCGAACAATCGTGGCAGTAATCGTTTCCATAATTCACGAATATGCCTCAAAAATAAATTGATGGCGCAGCAAACCAAGTAGTTTTTTGATCAAATATAAACAGGAAGAAAAGTCGAATATCGGGTGAAGTGCCAAACTTATATGATTAGGAGAGTTTAATCAAGATATGTTACAACGGAAAAAGGAAAGTAGAAAAGTTGGAATAAATAATGTCGGCGGTAAGAACTGCTAAGTAAGTAATAGATACATGATCCTTTGATAAATTATAATTTCAAGAGAATGGGGGTCAATATGCGAAATTCTGCGAGAAATATTCGGTGGTGTTTTATTAGTGACACATAAAAATGCACTAAAGATGCGTTTGAAAACATCCAATCAGATTTCTTTTATGATGTATTTTTATGAAGATTTGCATGGTAAGTCACGTGTAAGTTAAAAGCGACCAATGAAACAGAATACGAATTTATTGTCTAACTGTTTTAGACAAACAAACAAACCTGCCTTAACGCTTAGCCTATTTTTTTTTTTTTCTGTGTAATAAGCTTATTTATTATTATTTATGCTAATCTCGATTATATAGGTACATTATATTTCTATTATAACCTTTTTTTTTTATTGGTAACCTCCGCAACAAATTAACGACGAACATCCAAAATAGGTACGTACACGGCATATGCAAATCAATGCAAGTTTACCGAGAACCAATTGCCATCAAAGTGCGTGATCCATGGGATTCGCAGACTACACTAATCGATTTTCTTCCCTTACATTTAGACATTTCTAGGGAGCACCATTTTCCTGCGTATTACTTATTATATGCTTTATATATTTCACTTAATATCACACCATATGCCGCATGTTAGTCTAGCTGTATTCAACTTTTTAATATTGTTCAATACAGTAACGGTAATGCATTCATTTTCGGATACCCGTGACTTGCAAACAATTTTAGAATTCAAATAAATATCCGAATATTTTTTGCTTTATAATATATCCTATACTGTACGGATGTAAGTTTGTTTTCTTATTAATCAGGGCTTACTTGTTTTTGTTACCGTGACCCTAGATTTCTAAATGGTGGTTCCTTAATATGTATGCAATAAAGTAGTTTTGCAGCATGACGAGTCGCTAGTGCTACATTTTTGTGTTAAAGTTCGTAAATATTGTTGACATTTGTCACGTATTTAAAAATTACCTCTAAATTAGTACTGTTGCATAATGTCTTTTTTACTTTATAAATGTCAAAAAAATTATATACATACGTACGTACGTACTTTAATTATACTTGAGGTAGCTAGGTTGTCACTTGCAGTTTCAAAGTTTTTATTTTTTTTGTTTATCGTAAATGCATACAAGTTATTAACTGTTAAGATACCCTTTATGTTTGTATGATCGCATGATGCAATATCTTCGAAATTTAATCTATAGTAATATTAATACAAAAAATTTCAAATTCTAAATATATATCATCTAATACTGTAACATTTACTACTAACTGCTAAATGTTCTTAAATTAATTTTTTTTATACGTCAACCAATCATGCTAAATTAAATAAAGATTATGTAAATAAATTCGATTGATGCACACTAGTGATGCGGGCGAATCGACTCAATGGGTTATAACAGCAAGCAACGGTTACTATTACAGAAAATTCGTACGATCTAATTGTTCTGTTAATAAGCTATAATGACTTATGATTAACACTGTTTTAAATCGAAAAAAAATTTCTTACGATCAAAAATATTAGCATCCGAGAACAAATCCCTTAATCCGATTTAAATTCTTCATCTTCATAAATAACTATCAGTTGACATTTGCTAATATAAACTATTGCTTTTACATATATAAGCTTTGTTAGATATATAACTATAATACTAGATTATATAACTGTAATACTAGATTATATAAACTAATATATAAATTATTATTTGAGGAATCAGAATTTAAAATTTATAATTTGTTGGAATTAACCCCTGAACAGTTCTGATTGATATATGCTACGTAATTAAATTTAATTACGTATCATATGTATCATATGTCATTGATTAGAAGCCCGATAAATTATAACCATCAAAAACTTGCATTCTGATTATCTTTTAGCAGCATTCACCCGATTTTCTAATGCACACTAATTACAGTGAGACCTTTTTAATGCACTCGTTAGAATCAATTCCTAACAATATGTATTTAGAGATCAATTTAAAAAGTAAATTAAAATATATTTGGTTAAGAGTGTATTTAAAGTGATTTTTTATAATTGCATATTCGCTAATTGTTATTATAAAATAAGTACTTAAATTTTATATTTTAAGGTTTTAATAGTTATTAAACATAAAGATTTGAATTAAGTAGTTATTTTTAAATATTTTATAAGCTCTATACTTAAAATTTTAATATACCTTGCGTCTGATAAGTATTTACTATGTACTTAATAAGTACTTGACAAGTATTTTGATGAATATGTAATATAATTAATTTTATTTGCTATATAGTAATAGATTTATTAATTGTATATAACTACTTTTAAATTTATTTAATTCATAATTTCTAAATCAAAATATATAAAAGCAACACTAATAATTTTATCTATTTACAAAAGTATAATTATAACTTTCAATAATAATATTAACAATTATAAACAAAAATAGCAATTTTTTATAGGACGATTTTAACGTTCACCAGAGGTGAAATTCACCGAAGGTGCTATATTTCAAATACGTATTAAGTAATTGAAGTCAGGGACGAAAACTAAAATTAGGACCTTATATTTAACAGATACGTGTTATTTCGCCGACAATCACCGACAACTTAGTTCACCGACAATTAATTCACAGACAAGTTCATTTCACCGACAATTATTTCACTGACAGCTCATTTCATCGACAAGTATTTTTTGTAAACTACACTAACCTTAACTCTAATTCTAACCTGACCAGAATTGCTTTATCGGTGAAATGAGCTGTCAATGAAATAATTGTCGGTGAAATCAGTAAACTAAGCTGTCGGTGAAGTGAAGTGATTGTCAGTTAAATGTGCACCACCCATTTAATGACGTTATGTTATATAAAACTTCTCTTTATTCTAAAATTGTACTCCATCACGGCGAATTTATGAATTTAGCTAAAATTTGGTCACCAAATCCGAGTATTTTGCACCCAAAGTAAATCTTAGTTACCAATTTACATATTAATAAATCGATAACAAACCCCGAAAAGTTTTTTTGGACCTCTGATCTAGACTGATAACGCGTCTAACCCATCTTTCCCACATGCTAACCCATCTTCCCCACCCTTATTAGACATATAAATTTATTATAACGACGCACCTTAGCTTGGGAAAAATTTCTTATCTCAGCCAAAATCTATATTTATAACTTAGTGGTCAAATTTTGGGGCATTTCATAAATTCGCCGCAATGCTAAGATAGTGAATTTCACTACTGGTAAATATTAAATAAATTACTCTTTCAAATAACAATATGAAAATTGTTTATTAAATCTTGGTAATAATATTTATTTGTATCTTGCTATAATTCTCTGTCTATTAAATTTTACTATACAATATAAACTTATAAAGCTTTAGTTAATATAAGTTAGTAATACTAAAAGTAAAAAATATTATTCTACATGTTTTTATTATTTAAAAATATTACAAAGTAGGCCAGAGTTGCCGCATGTAGTTAAAACCTGCAGAAAGTTTAAATAAATTTGTTTGTTTTGTATTATTCTATATTTTTGGGACTTGTATTGTACTTTTGATTATATTTTTGAATTATTCATTGTGTATAGTAAATAATTGATTTACTATTATTATTTAACAGTATTGTTCAATTATTGAATAATTTTCAAATTCAAATCTATTTTTGTATAACTTTAAAATATTTTTAAACATGTTAAACTTAATGATATTTCTGTCACAGCCTTATTGCACAAGCTCTCAAGCCCGTGATGCAAGCTATAATTGCATCACTCAAGCCCAAGCATGTGATAAAAGCCCATGATTGAACCTATGCCTCAAGTTTACTCTGATGCTCACCAGGTTCTGATTGGTTCCTAATTGGCTATTATATTATTCAGTTATATGTATTAGAAATAAAGTTATTAATTTGTAGTTAGTAGTTGTGTTTAAAAATATAGTCATTAATTTGTAGTTAGTAGTTGTATATTAAAAATGTAGTCATTAATTTGTAGTTAGTATTGCTTTGCATTATAAATTAAGTTATTAGTTAATAATTAGTAGTTGAATTAAGAGTATAAAAGAAATTCAAAAAGATGTAATTACTCTTTAGTTTGTTCAATAAAATCCTTACTCTATATTGCTTAACTTACTCTTGCCCATTCCCATCTTGCTTTATTTACTATTCATTACAATTTCTTTATGGGTTTTATTTTTTATTGCATCTGTAATATATTGAACCTCTACTATATCTTAAAATTTTACTAGAGAAACCAGATGTTTTAAAGAATAAGTGGGCAATATATAAAATAACAAGTTTACTAAAATGCACCTATGGTGTTCAACACCATAGGTCCCTATTTCTCAAAAACGTATTAAATAAATGTGATTAGGTACTCTAAGTAAAAATGTTCAGGACCCCCAAAAACCTTACAAAAACTAAAATCGGGACCTTATATCTAACATAT